CCAGAACTTCTGGAGCAAGGGATCTGAACCGTCTGGCCCAGAGACACCGAGAGCAAGGCCGGCTGAATCACCGCTGGCTGAGATCTGACCCCTGCACATAAAGAACAGGAGGGTTACATTTGTGCTGGTCCCTCACATCTCATCAACACAATCATTCGGATGCTGAGAAGGCCCCATAGAAGCGGCCCTCTTGAGGGTCACTTCTTCCCCCTTAGCCTGCACAGGAACTGAGAACTGCCAAGCAAAAGAGGGGCCAGGCCATGGCGATCTCCCTGCAGGACTCTGGGCTTGCGGTGGGAAAGACGAAAGGAGAAAGGCCAGTGTGGTGGCTCCTCTCCCAGATCAGCCCTTAAATCCCGCATGCATGCCGGGAGAACGACCCCCTCACGCAAATCCACCCGGCGAGCATCGAGCATCGTCTCTGCTCCCACGCCTGTCCCAGCCGAGAGTGTGTGATGCTCCAGCCCAGCCAATGGCCCGCCAGCAAATTTGCATAAACCCTCGGGACCTGCCCTGGCTTGGGCGGGGAGGGCAGCAGGACCACGCAGAATACGTCTGCTCGAGGGCCCCCACAATCGCTGCCCCCAGGGCCGAGGCTGACCCGGAGGGGGGAATGCTTTGGAAGGATGGAGGCTCAAGCGGGGCAGCAGGGAGAGCCATGCCTAGGTGCCATGGCCAGCCTCAGCAGAGGCAGGCGGCCCCGCTGGACGGCCTGCGCACGTCCTGCCGGCTGCCCTTCCCCTGCAGGAGCCACCCTGACAGCGGAGCCCAGGGAGCTCCTGGAAGTGGTGGGCCTGTGGGAGAAGCCCGGGCTGGGTCCAGTCTTCTGGACCTGAGCAGAGACTGAGCTGCCAAACCCTCAGCGGGGCTCCGAGAGTTGCCTTGGAAGCTCTGCCTAGCAAGGGGCCTGCCTGGCACTTTGGGACCTAAGGGCAGGAAGGGGGGGCTGAGATCACCCCCGACGTTCTCATCGGTGTGGCTCTTGGCCTCATCTGTGCATGGGCATGCATGGCCATGCTGTCTGCGTGCGCAGATATTCCATGAGAAAAATGGCATCGCGAGACACCCCTGTTGGGGGACCAGCCAAGGCCTTCAGTGGGTCTTTCCAATTTGCAGAATCCAGAAGGACACACTGAAAACTGAATCCAAAGGTGAGCCCATTTCACCTGAGCCACCGAAATGGGGGAGAGGCATANATGGGCATGCATGGCCATGCTGTCTGCGTGCGCAGATATTCCATGAGGAAAATGGCATCACGAGACGCCCCTGTTGGGGGATCAGCCAAGGCCTTCAGTGGGTCTTTCCAATTTGCAGAATCCAGGAGGACACACTGAAAACTGAATCCAAAGGTGAGCCCATTTCACCTGAGCCACCGAAATGGGGGAGAGGCATACGGCCTCCGTTGCTGGGTGGACCAGCCATGGCTCAGGGCTGCACGGGCCAAAAGCCTGCACCTTCGAGCAGACCCAGAGTGCCAGCAGAGGTTTCTGAGCAGACAGCTGTGCACCTCTGCAGGTGAGCAGCCGGCCCCAAGGGAGCACCGATGTGCACTGAGCCTTCTCCTGCTTCAGGACACACCTGCCCAGCTGGCGGTTGAGCTCCCGGTCCCCTCATTTGGCCAGAGGTGAAACTTGGACCAACATCTCCCTCTACGGGCAACACCCAAGAAACCAGGTCTCCCTTCAAGCATCAATTACCCTTTTCAACAGGTCCTGAAAAGTGCTGTTTGGAAGAAAAAGCTAAGCGTTTAATGCTCAGTAATTCTTTTCAACAGAGATACCTAAGTGTGTGTTTGTGCGTGCGTGTGTGTGTGTGTGTTTCCTAGAGCACAAGGCAACGCCCCTTCTGCTGCTGACCATGGAAATACTCCCAGTCACTGGAGCACTTGCACTGGAGGAAAGTTTAGGAGCTCCACCCGGAGACACAGACTGGGAAGGGGGCTGAGTGAGAATCTCCTGTGGCAAAGATCCGAATCCAGTCTGAAAGTAAAGGGAAGAACTGCTCCTCCTTTCCTGCTGTTTCCGAAGGAAATGAGAGAACCCAGAGAATTCCATGGAGAAATACTGAAATACACACCATGATCTCTTGCCCTCCTCTTGCTGCCAGACTGGGGCTGACGATACTAAAACAGGAAGCATGACCTTCCTTGGAGGAAAATGGATGTGGTGAAAAGGAATGGATGAAACAAGGAGATTTTGTGTATGTCTGAGGTCATCGGATGGAAGAAACAGCATTTTCCCCTGCTGGCAGCAAAGGCAGACTTCTAGTATTTATTTGTTTGTTTGTTTGTTTGTTTGGGGAACTTCTATGCCGCCCCATTCGCCGAAGCCTTGGCCGGTGAGGCTTCGAAGTATAGGGAGAGCTAAAGTGGGAGAGCTCGAGTGCATCGGAATGGTTCCCCAGGCTGCAGAGGCAGGATGGTAGGACTCAGGATGCGTGAAACTCTGCACCTCCTCCTGCATGCGCTGGAGCTGCACAATTTGAGGAGGGAACGAAAGGAGGGGTGGCAAAGGATCAGGAGTACCCCAGATTCCCCAGTAGTGCCAAAGGGTGAGAGGGGAGACTTTGCCAGGCCTCCCTTCAGGCCAGTAGAGGGTGTCCCAGTGAGCATTAGCCAGGTTAAACGGTCTGCCAGTTTTTGCTCTTTCGCAAGAGGAACAAGAGGGCAATTTTTGTCTCAGTTCCCTACCAGAACCAACCGCTGTGATACACCTTGCCGTTGTCTTCCCAGCCACGACAGTAATAATCCCCCTCATACTCAGCCTGGGCATTGGTGATGGTTAGATAGTTGGGGTTCCCAGAGCTCCAACCCGAGAACCGATCCGGGATCCCTTCTCCCTTGTTGCTTCCATACAGCACGAATTTGGGGCCCTGTCTGGGCAGCTGTCGGTGCCAGCTGAAATAGTTCCAGCTGCCGCCACCCCTTCCCGTGCAGGAGAGTTTAACTGTTTGGCCGGGGGACACGGACTGCGATGGAGGCTGAGTGAGGACTTGTTGTGTGCTGAGACCTGTGCAAAAAGGGGGGAAAGGTGTTACTCCTTCCCAAGCGTTGCAGTTCTGGAAAAGCCTTCATCTCCCAAGATGTGTGCAGGCTGCTAATGTTTCTGTTGCCCACTGGGCCACTGTGACGTGGTCTTTCCTGCCTTACCTGCACAAAAACTGAGCAGGGTCCAGAAGAGCAGAGCCCAGGCCATGCTGACCTCCCTAGAGGAGCTCGGGGTTCCGGAGGGAAGGAATCCTTGCCGGGCTGCCTCCCGCTTTGCCTCTTAAACCGCTCACGGTGGACGCACCGCCCCTTCATGCAAATCTGTGCTCCGAGCATGGACTCTGCTCACAGGTCCTGGCGATGTGCAGTCCAGCCAGGGATCCCACACCCAATTTGCATGGGGGAGGTCTTCACACTCTCGGGAGGAGGACTTGCTTGGCTGGCATGGCAAGATGGTAGGCACAGGGCAACCCCCTATGAAATGCCCCCTTGGAACCCTTCCGGAGGGCATCAATGAAAGGATTTGCCTCCCTTTCCCAAGTTCAGGCCTCATGAATGATTCCTTCTGTCCCACCAGAGAGTATCCCACACATGAAGATTGGGTGGATCGGAAGCCTGTGTGCGCCTGCATGGGGAAGGAGTGGCCACTCATGCGCCGTGCGCTGCCTGTAATGCCCTCCTCTAGGCATGCCCAAGCCCGCTGAATGGACGTTTGGACAAGGACAGGTGCTGCCCAGCATTGTCCCTCTGCCTAAATATGCAGGAACGCCTTGCACGAGCTCTTGCTTTATCCTGTTTCTGCGCACACTGCCATGGAAGATGGTTCAGCCTGTTGCCCCCATCCTCTAATCCCGGCAAATGCCAAAGAGTGGACCAACACCGCCACCTGCAGGTGGAACCCAGGAAAGCAGCTTCACACCCCGTAGAGGCCATGTGCGCCTCAGCCACGTGCAGAGGCAAAGAGAAGCATTTGGTGGAGGGGGAGCCTCGCCCTGCCCTCATCCCAAGGCAGCCCCACTTGCTGCTGTTGGGAACGGCCTTCTTGGGTCACAGCCCCACAACGACTGGGTGGGGCAGCCGAGCAGCCTGAAGGGGTCCCTCCGGCACACTCCTTCCCAAGGGGTGCATTTCCAACTCCTTGAACTGTGTGTGTTTGCACAAACATTGTGCTGGTGCAGCTGCATCCTTGCTGCTCTGCCTTGGATGAGCGGATATGGGCTGCCAGGACAGCATCCCATGAGCGGCATGGAGCATTCGGTCAGTGCTTCTTCCAGGGAAATCAGCATCTTGGCCCTGCAGGAGATGCCCCAAGACTTCTGACTCCCAGCAGGTTGCCCCGATCACGTGATTCCCAGCAGAGCCCTTTCTGTGTTGCCGACAGAGGGAATGAAGGGCTGGAAGAGACCTTTTTTGATCTTTCTTTGCCCATTTGAGGAAGGAAGAAAACTTTTCTCCCCACTGCGGCAAAAGGGGACTCAAGGTTCACTGGAATCGTTAGTGCATGTTGTTGTTTTTTCCCAGGTCGGGGAGGCGGATAAGCAGTGCAGGGTTCTTTGGCCCATGGGTCTTCCCTCTCTGTCCAGGGGCATCTGCCCAGCATCCCAGGAGTTTCCTCCTTGAGGACTGGGGCCAAACTCAAATGAGGTCTGTATTGCCCTCACCTTGCGGCCAGCTGAATGGAATAAGAAGCAGAGAACCCTGCCGAACTCTCTGTGCAGCCTGGGGCCTTCCTGAACCCTCTACAGATTCAAGGTCTCTCATGCTGGGGAGGAAAAGAGAGGTTTTTGTCTCAGTTCCCCACCAGAATCAACCACTGTGATACCCATTGTTGTTGTTCTCCCAGGCAGCACAGTAATAGTCTGCCTCATCCTCTGGCTGGGCGTTGGTGATGGTTAGATAGTTGGGGTTCCCAGAGCTGGAACCCGAGAACCGATCTGGGATCCCTTCTCCCTTGTTGCTTCCATACAGCACGAATTTGGGGCCCTGTCCAGGCAGCTGTCGGTGCCAGCTGAAATAGTTCCAGCTGCCGCCACCACTTCCAGTGCAGGAGAGTTTAACTGTTTGGCCCAGAGACATGGACTGAGACGGAGGCTGAGTGAGGACTTGTTGGGTGCTGAGACCTGTGCAAAAAAGGGGGAAAGGTGTTACTCCTTCGCAAGCTTTGCAATTCTGGAAAAGCCTTCATCTCCCAAGATGTGTGCAGGCTGCCAATGTTTCTGTTGCCCACTGGGCCACTGTGACGTGGTCTTTCCTGCCTTACCTGCACAAAAACTGAGCAGGGTCCAGAAGACCAGAGCCCAGGCCATGCTGACCACTCTAGAGGAGCTCGGGGTTCCGGAGGGAAGGAATCCTGGCCAGGCTGCCTCCCGCTTTGCCTCTTAAACACCTCACGGTGGAAGCACCGCCCCTTCATGCAAATCTGCACTCTGAGCATGGACTCTGCTCACAGGTCCTGGCGATGTGCAGTCCAGCCAGGGATCCCACACCCAGTTTGCATGAGGGAGGTCTTCACACTCTCGGGTGGAGGACTTGCTTGGCTGGCATGGCAAGATGGCGGGCACAGGCCAACCCCTCATGAAATGCCCCGTCGGAACCGTTCCAGAGGGCATCAATGAAAGCATTTGCGTCACTTCCCAAGTTCTG